AGTAGAAACCATTTCATTGGAACATTCAATATTTTACAGCATTTTAAAATCGTTATATTTTATTTAACACGAGACAGTAGAAACCATTTCATTGCAATATTCAATATTTTACAAGCATTTTATACACTTTACACTTCATTAAACACCAGACAATAAAAAACCATTTTATTGCAATATTCAATATTTTACAGCATTTTATACACTTTATACTTCATTAAACACCAGACAGTAGAAACCATTTCATTGCAATATTTAATATTTTACAGCATTTTATACACTTTATACTTCATTAAACACCAGACAGTAGAAACCATTTCATTGCAATTTTCAATATTTTACAGCATTTTATACACCTTATACTTCATTAAACACAAGACAGTAGAAACCATTTCATTGCAATTTTCAATATACACTTTATACTTCATTAAACACCAGACAGTAGAAACCATTTCATTGCAATATTCAATATTTTACAGCATTTTATACACTTTATACTTCATTAAACACCAGACTGTAGAAACCATTTCATTGCAATATTCAATATTTTACAGAATTTTATACACTTTATACTTCATTAAACACCAGACAATAGAAACAATTTATTGCAATATTCAATATGTTACAAAATTTTTACAGAGCTGAATATTTTCAAATGAGATAGACATATCAGTATTTCTATCACTTTTGAAAATGAAAGTGTTTCCATGTCACAGTACTTTTTCGTAACAGAAATAAAAGATTTTCGTGTTAAAATGTGAAATTTTTTTTAATTTTTTGGGTTAGCTTGTCATGCATGCCATAACGTATGTTATATTAATTATAATTGTTAAGAATCATAGTCAGCATATTTAATTATTAAATATTGACTATCATTAAATTCATTATGTTATTTATGTTTAACCCATATAACACTTTTTAGAAATAAAAATCCGTTTGATTTTTAAATACATTTGATAGTCACAGTGCTATGGAGTCCTGGCATAATTATAAAAAAAAATCCGTAAATTTCTCAGTTTATCATTCAACATTGATTTACATTATTTAAATGATTATTCTTTGCAGTTTTTTTCCCTTGTCCGCCCATATTCAGCTCAATATTTACATAAATATACAATAAACATATTTACAACATTAATAACACATATCTGTCTAGCTGTCTATCAGTAGGATACAGGGAGATTTTGAAAAGTTGTATTCGTGTATTTCGTTTAAGAAGTATGTTTTCAAAAATAATGTCGACAGAAGCTAAACCCCTCGAGAGAGATAAAAAACGAAAAACTATGATTTTCAGGGGAATTCAGCCCAATTTCATTATTGTTTCAGAAGAAGTAAATATTTCCATTTAGTGTTAGCGCCGATCTAAGGATTCAACTCTAATTGGATGATGAGATAGATAGAAAGATAGATGTTACGGCCATGCAATTTCTATTGGTTCAGAATAGACACAAATCACGTGACAGAACTCTGATTGGATAAGGCGCTAATGGACTCAGCATACAGGAGTGATTTGGGGTTGAGCCCAACCCTTTGNAGAGCTCTGAATCTCAAACCAATTTAAGAGTTCGTTTGCTGAGATGATTTCATATCTGAAATTGAGAGTCTGCAGAACGGTCACTTTTATTATCATATTTTAAAAACAAATTTTTATACATATTTCAATAGATGATTTAAAAATATCCCTGCAATCTCTGCAAATCGATGTTTAAATTAACTATGCGAGATCAAACATTCTAAATTTGAAGGTTTACACCATCAGGTTGCAAAGATATTGGACTTGATTAAAAAACTCGAATCTTTTTTATAAACAACCTTTCAGCTACAAATACATACAATTAAGTTTACTGAGAAAATACAAATAAATATTTTTATAAAAACCAAGGAGTAGATTTAGATGGAGATGCAATTAAACTAAACTGTAATATCATGTTAATATATATCACACATTTTCCATTAACTTGTCTGTTTTATCAACAAAAAATATAATTAAAAATTAGTCAAAAAAGCTTCAAAGTATTTTTTGTTGATATCAATGTTTTTTAAATTTTTTTTGAAAAATGTTTTCTCCATGTAAAACTACTCCCTGATATAAATACTGTTAAATGAGACAAATGATGTTAGAGGAGGGAATAAAATAAACGTTTAGCTAAATCTTTCATCATTCGAATCTTTGATTCGGGAACAAGAATATAACAAAGGGGAAGAAGAGGGTGTTGGGACATTTTATAGATGGACATTTTAAAGATGGACATTTTATAGATAGATTTCATTGATGGACATTTCATAGATGGACATTTCATAGATAGACATTTCATAGATAGACATTTTATAAATAGACATTTTATTTTGTAAATAGACATTTTATTTTATAAATAGACATTTTATTTTATAAATAGACATTTTATAGATAGACATTTCATAGATAGACATTTTATAGTGGACATTTTATAGATGGACATTTCATAAATGGACATTTTATAAATGGACATTTTATAGATGGACATTTTATAGATAGACATTTCATAGATAGACATTTCATAGATGGACATTTCATAGATAGACATTTCATAGATCGACATTTCATAGATAAACATTTCATAGATGGACTTTTTATATATGGACATTTTATAGATGGACATTTTATAGATGAAAATTTTAAAGATGAACATTTCATAGATAGACATTTCATAGATAGACATTTCATAGAGAGATATTTTACAGATAGACATTTTACAGATAGACATTTTATAGATAGACATTTTATAGATAGACATTTTATAGATAGTCATTTCATAGATAGACATTTCATANGATAGATAATTTATTGATGGACATTTTATAGAAAGACATTTTATATATATTTCACAAGTGTACAAGGTGTACAATTATTGTACGCTGAATGTATTCAGTAACATCTGTGAGTGCGAGAGAGAATAACAAATTAGTGAAGAGAACAGGGATGGGGAGGGATTGTCATCAGTTTATGTATTACTGGGGTAGAGAAACAGGGGCGTATACAGGAGTTTGAGAGAGAGGGGAGGTTAACATATTTATTTTTTAAAGGGATAGGGGGTATTAGGACTAAAGAGAATAGATAAGTGTAGAGTAGAAAAAAAGTGTAAAACCGCCATTTTGTTCCATACTGCAGACGTGTACGGTGTACCTCACATATTTGTGTCCTTTATGGCCCTGGAGCAGGGGCGGATATAAGGATTCTGTAGGGGGGGTAAATAATTTTAATTTGGCGTGCGAAGCGCGCCGGAATTTTTTTTTACCCCCCCCTAGAAAAATATCATGATGTATATCAAATTATTGGTTTTAATTGGGTTTGATTTGCATTTTCCACTCATTTCTGGGATTTACAAACTCAATCTAATAAAGGCTTCATTACATACCTTTCAGCTTCCACCTTCTTTTATACCNGTTATTATTATACTAGGGGGGGGTAAATAACCCCAATAACCCCCCTTATTTACGCCACTGCCCTGGAGCATAGAAAACTATTAACGACCTTTTTTTAAATGAGATTTTTTTTTAAAACGATCGTTTCTGAAAAAAAGCTGAAAATTGTACAACCCCTTGTATTTCATGAATATGTTTTATTTCTTGGGGTCAATGTGTAGAAAACAAATTTTAACTGATCAGTGTCTTGTCATTCTGAATTGTTTAAATTACTGGTCCTCTATATAAAACACTGTCAGTGCCACCCCATACATGTGCACGGAGTAAAAAGAATAATTGCCGCAACTCTTATTATTTAATGTGCTGTGTGGACGTAGCTAGTACAGAAGTAAATTCAATTTCGGCTTTAACACTCCGGTATGGCGAAGAGGACATAACGATCTAGCCTAATTTAGCTAGGACCTAGAGGTTCTTTAGTTTTACTGGGACAGAGGAACTAGCTGATTACTTGCTTCAAACTTTCTAATCACACATCTTTGCAGTCTAGTATCGTAGACATTAGATTTTTCAAGCTTTGAATAAAGATATACAGGGTGCCCCACGAAACTTGACAGTTGGTGAATAGTTAAATGTCTTCTTCCATAAATGGTTATGTTGTTGGATGTAAAAGAGAATATAGTAAGATATATAACATGGCATTTTATAGTAAAATTGATTTCAAATTAAGATATATTAGAGTAAAAGAGTTTGTTAACGAAATAAAATGCAATAAATCTTCAATATCTAATATAATATATGGAAAAAAACATTCAAAACCATTCACCAACTGTCATGACACCTTGTATCTAAAATCATATTTTGAAATATCAAATGTCTACAATATCAGGTTGCAATGATTACACAACTAGAGGTTTAGGCGATTATTTTGCTGCTTAGGTATTTTTTTGCTTGGCCGGTTTTAATACTTTCTAGCTCGGTATCATTAATTCAAATAACAGAAATCTCTTTGAACCGTACAATAACTCAATAGAGACATTTTTATAGAAAATGATTTCCAATAATTAACGCGCGTCTATGTATTTTTCATGTACTTATATTATTCGAAATTTGTAAAAAAGGTACAGGAAACAATGCTGGAAAAATGTAATGTAGTGTGGAGCCCCTGATCTGCAATAAAAACTTGGAGAAATTAGTCCCAATTTCCTAAATATCACTGGAAGAAAGTCCCAATTTCCTAAATGTCCCTGGAAGAAAGTCCCAATTGTCTAAATGTCACTAGAAGAAAGTCCTTGGTTTTGGATTCCTGGAACTTTTTAATGGTGACCTTTTTTGCGAGCGACATTTTTAGGACTTTCTTTCCGATAACTGTTTTCCATAAAACTTTCTTGGCAGTTAATGAATATATTTTTAAACAGTTAGTACTAGTTAAAGGGAGTGACCGGCTATGTAAGGTAGTTGAACTAAGTATGCAGTGTTTTGGAAAACTTCTTTCGGATTCATTTGATACTGCATACTCAGTTCAACTACCTTACATAGCCGGTCACTCCCTTTAATACTGCCACATGTTTTTTTCTTCTTTTAATTAAATAAAAATGGCTTAGTTGATCTTTTATTTAGCTTGATAATTATTAAATAACACTCTTTAGCAATCCTAAAAACTAAATTTGTTTATTATTATCTGTGCAATTTGTAAATTCTGAATGTTTTGTTCTCAAAAACAGGTTTAAACAGTTTTCTATACTCAGGGCTGTCATAACGAACCTAAAAAAGTATAAGTTTAAAAAGTATAAATTAAAAAAAAAACTTGTTCAAAAAAAAATTTGATTTTGAAAATGTTTGAAGTCAAGAAAGTACTTTTCAAAAAAAAAATTAATGTCGATAAAAAATTTGCATTAATAATTCTTAACTTGTAAACTAAAAAAATGATCTCTTACACTTTTTTCAAAATCATTCAATTTTACGATACGTTCTACATTTGTAATAACAAAGCTTGTAATTACAATTACATGACTTAAAGGGACTGTAACAGAAGTTTATGGGACCATCCCTGCAAACTACTGACAAAGATATCAACGTTTATAAATATGAATACTGATTATTTTCAACTGGTGGTGTGCTATAAAAATAAAGGAATTTTCAGAATTAAAAACGTTTCTTCCCAGAAAAAGATAGTATCTTCTCCAATATTGACCACATTAAAATTTTACGTTTGCTGCTTTGAATCGGGTATTGGCATCTTTGCAAGTAGGGCCAATTAAAATTGAGCTTACAGTCCCAATGATTATGGTTTTTGAGTAAGTTAAAGGGGGAGGGGTAAATTTTGTTTAAAAAAGTATTTCTCAAAATTTATTACCTCGTCACAAAATCTTGGGTAATCACTTTCCTCGAGATACGGGGGATCCTGAATACCATCTTCAGGGATCTAGGAGTATCATTATTATTATTGTTATTATTATACAGGGGATCTAGGAGTATAATTATTATTATTGTTATTATTATACAGGGGATCTAGGAGTATCATTATTATTATTGTTATTATTATACAGGGGATCTAGGAGTATCATTATTATTATTGTTATTATTATACAGGGGATCTAGGAGTATCATTATTATTATTGTTATTATTATACAGGGGATCTAGGAGTATCATTATTATTATTGTTATTATTATACAGGGTTCTAGAAGTATCATTTTATTATTATACAGGGGATCTAGGAGTATCATTATTATTATTGTTATTATTATACAGGGGATCTATAGTTAACCGTTTTTATATTTAAGTTATATTACTTAATTTGATACGTATTTACATATTTTGTAATAATACAATATGAACTTGTTTTAGAGTTCTTGCTCTAAATGATTTTTAATAGTTTGCGTTATTCAACACTGATCCTGGTTTCCACTTTATCCATCTTAATTTAAGTAATTTACAATGTTTTCCAATATATAATAATTCTTTAAAACATCAACTCTTCGCACTTCATTTTGAGCCAATTGTTTTCTAAGATAATAAAATAATAATTTGCTATTTTTAATAGAAATAGTTTTAAGATGTTAACCTTCATTTTTGATTCTTGCTTCTAACACACAGTCACAACACTCAAAAGCACCTTTTTCTTTATATACCTACTTGCCCCCCTCCCCCACCCACCCCACCATCTCTTCTTCTAAAACACTCACTTTATACCATCCCCCCTCATACAATACTTAGCCTCAAACTTTTTGGTCAATATGTTCTTAACTCTTCTAAATTCTATCCGTGTAGTTGATTGAAGTGTTAATCTATGTAAAACTTTCTTTATATTTCTATTCTCAGTTGCCTCGGAACTTCAGCACAGTCAGGTTCTTATACAACTCTCTCCTAGTTTCTTGCGGCTGAGCAGAACCCTATGTGGAATAACATGGCAGTATACCATACTTAGAAAAAAAGAAATTAATAGTGCAGAGAAGGAGGGGTTTCTCTATGCTTCTCTTTCCCCTCCCTCTTGCCAGAAACAAGGAAAATGGAAACATAGAAAGTAGAATCCTGGTTGTGCACCATGCACTATGCTGCCGGCTGTGAGGAACAGATTGCTGTAGACAAGGCCATATTTTGAAGTACAATAGCAGCAATTCCCCATTTATGTACATGCAGTGCAACTCCGATGGGTAACCATTAATGCTGCAGAACTCCAAAAGAGTATAAATCTGGGAGAAAAGTAGGGTTCCTTTATGGGAGTCCCTTGATACCCTCCCTTTCTACCTACTCCAAACATATTTAGCGGATTTTACAAAAAAAGAAATGTAGTGGATTTTTAAAATTTTCAAAAGAGGCAAATTTTTGAAAATCACCCATAAACCTTTTCTGGGGTCACACGAGGTTCCACACAAAATGTGAGCCCTAGCGGTTCAGCCGTTTTGCCGTTTATTCGATAGAAAAAACGGTAGTATTTTTGATCAGATTAAGGATTCAAAGGTACTGTTATAAAATCGGGCAATGCCATCTTTGCATGAAGGTTCATTTAAAATTACGCTTACAATCCCTTTGACTGGGTATATTTTAAAAGCAGGCAGGCTATGAAGGAGGTTCCCAGTATTAAACTGAGTATGTCTGCACCAGACTTTTTATTGTTAAGAAACTAACCTCACCGACCATTTGTTTGACAGCCTTAATCTAGGCGTTTAATAAATTAAGCATTAAATGGAGCCCACTTTGCCAAATAAACAAAACAAAACATATTTTATAGGTCATCACTTAACGGTTTGGATGGGAGGCCCTTTGGCACCCTCCCCCCTCTTTTTTTTTTTTTTTATCAAGCACTCTTCTTAACATTTAAAAAATAGTAAAAACAAGATTTTTTTATTGCAAAGACTAGGGTACAAGACGTTCAATGAGCGATTGGCGGTGTTTCCAAAAATGTAAAATAGACATTAATTTTATATATGTCTAGAATTTAAAGGAATTGAGTTTTAGTCACAAATTCAAATTTTCTAATCCCTATGTCTTTGCAACCCGATGGTTTAAACCTTTGATATTTCAAACTACAACCATTTGCTCAAACAGTGTTCATAGTTTGAAATATCTAAGATCTACAACATCGGGTTGCAAAGATATAGGGGCTAGAAAATCAGAGTTTGTGGTAAAAACTCAATTCCTTTCTTTAAGCCCTTAAAGAAAACATGCTGCTTTATTGCAAAAAACAAATTTACATTTCTTCGATTTTTTTCCATGTTTACTTAAGGTTTTGTTTCTAAGGGGTCTTCTTCCCCTGGAATTTAGGGTTAATGGAGAGTGAGGGGCATGAATTATCATTAAATAAAACTTACATGATTATTGACTAGATCCATTATATCTGGTGTAGAACAACGACCTCTATGAGACAAACATATGCTGTCCTCAAGAATGATGTAACTCGTGTTGTACCTGTACAGTGTACAGGCAATTAATCAATCAAATTATAATTTAATCATTTTATAAATTGATGAATTAGTCTAGTAATCAATCAATCAGTCATCCAGTCAACAATTTTATAGATTAGGGCTGGACAGTTAACACATGCCTTAACTTTTTGATATTTTCACTTTGACTATTTGATTAAACATCATAGTTTCAAATATTAAATGTCTACAACATCAGGTTGCAAATATTTCATGATTTTAATAAAATATAAATGAAGTAATTAAGCAATCTGTTGGTAAAGCAATCTGTCAACAAATCATTTTTTTGATAAAAGTGAAAAGCCAAGCCGAACGTTTCAATAAATAAAAATTGTAAAATATATGTAAACATATTGTACAATTTTATTTTTAATTTCAATATTGTTGATTCGGCCATGTTGGACTATTAAAACTAGTATAACCACAAAGAACAAGTCTCGTTAAATTTATTAAAAAAGTTTAAAATTTTACTTTATTAAAAGTTGATGAACATAGTCAGGGGATTCTTTCCCATACATCTGGTACAGCTGAAATATTTAGCAATTAAAACCTAAAGAAACTGTAAGAATAATTTCAAATGTCCCTTCATTCAAAGATGACAATGCCTGATTCACAACGGTACCCTTAAAAAGGTTTGGCTGATCAAGTACAAATCATATATCAATGTTTATAACTTTGAGAACTGATTTTTTTCCATTGCAGTTTCACTGCAAAAGTGACTTGCCCAATGCACTTGTCTACTGCAGAAAAAAAGCACTTTAAACCCTGATAAAACGAGGATATTTTCCACAATATTGATCAGATGAAGGTTTCAAGTGTACTATTGTAATCTGGTCTTTACCATCTTCGCATGTATAAAATGTTTAATCCTTCATGAGCTTAAAACTTTTAATTGGATGGATGAGTTGTATAAAGATTAAAGAGAATGAGTCAATCTCGTTTACCCATTGGATTTTTTAAATGTGATAATACAAATATTTGTAACGTTTATTTATATATATAAAGTTGTAGCCTCTGTTTGGGTCTGTTTAATTGTTTGTCCGATCATAACTCAGAAAGTCCTAGAACGTTTTGACTCAAATTTTGATTGGGGATATCGGATAAGCCACGGGAATGCTCTAAGTTTTGTTTTGAGAGGGAAAAAAGCTAACCTTGGCAACGCTGTTAGTTAAAAATCAAATTCATATTTATTACTGTTTAAACAAATTAAAATATAACATTTTCAGAAAACTGAATCAACATTTATTGATTAACTTTCCTAGTATTTACTAGAACTGAGCAACGTTCCAAGAACTAACGACAAGTTTTTTAACATTAAAAGGAAGATTTCATTAACGAGCGGCAGAAACCGTTAATTTTTAAATCGTTAGCGAACAATAATTACAGTTCATAAAGAAAATAAATGACCAAAAAAAAAAAAAA